GCTTCGAAGATCAATGTTAGTAATATATCCAGAAGTTTGATTGCAACCCACACCATTCCACGTACAATTCCCCTCCCGAAGATCAGTTGGCTATCCAATTTTTGTCATTAACCGTGGTGGACGCATGCACTCGCAACCCAAAAGTCAAGCGAAAGATGTCCCTTTCTTCTTTTAAGCTGAATCGGACCAACCGCCGGCGATTTCTGAAAAGTCTTTTCCAAGACAACAAGAGAATTAGGGTGCTGAAACAATAACTCAAGAGCCCCGGGGTGCCCATCTTTAAGAAGGTCCGAATGAAATACCCAAGCCTACATGAACCATCATCAAAGCAAGCCCAAGCATTTATCGTCGCCTGAATTTCTGTAGGATTCTATCTTCTTCCTTAGTGGGTAGTGGGAGACCTTCCGAATCCGAATGCCCAAAAGACCTACTGGTCGGCCACTGCGACAATTTGTTCCATTCCATGAAACCAAGCGACGAGAAGGATCCTTAAACCTTTTCTTTAGCTGGAGGAGAGCATTCCGCTCCTTCCCGATACAAGTTATGGCTGAAACTCGAGAGAGAGAAAGTAGGAGTAACGCCATAGATGACAGAGCCAATAAACGTAAGCATTTTTCAGAGAGTTTCCTCATTTTTGTTTAGAACTCGGGTTTTAGAGGTTGAATTTGGCTTACGTGCTAATGGAAGAAGGAAACCAACCCTTGTTCAATTAAAATGCAGTCGGTCAAAGTCTTTGGCTGAGAAAAATGCAAGAAAAAGTGCTTTTGTAAGACCCATTCTCTACTCAACCGTTCACACCCAAATTCTTAGTCTTAAATAAATAAATTACACGTTCTTTTCTCCGATGTGGGACCCCTACCAAATCTATCCCTTCGGGACCAGCGTTCTTGCTAGCACGCCACCTCGTGTCTATTCTTCTACAAAGAAGGGTGAGAAGGCTGGCACATCGACCAGTGTCTGGCTCTGATATCATTTATAATGACCTAAACCCATCCCTAACAGATATTGTCCGTTTTCCCTTTTGGGCTCCCCTCAAATCTTTAAAACACTCTGTTAAGGAGAGATTTCCACATCCTTACAAGTGGCGTTTCATCTCCTCTTCAACCAATGTGAGATTCACGCACATAATGTAAAATATATTTATTACATTCTAACCCTCCATAAAAAAATTTAGATTGAGAGGTGGGAGCGGCAGGTGTAGCACCTAAGGAGAGGAGTCTCGCTGTGAATGAGAAGGTTGTGAAGATAAAAGTAGGGATTTTGATAGAAATTCTATATTTATTCTTGATTAAGAGGTTAGCGATTCTACAATTTCTATAATATCATCTCGACTCTTATGTAGGTGCAAATGGGAGTACCATGGATAAAGTAAAAAATTTTACGAGAATGAAAATTAAAACAGGTGGTAGGGACCGAGACTGAAAAAAACTTTCCATCTCTACCCTTATGTGGACATTTCTATTGTATATAAAATTTATGCTACAATCTTGCATACAGAAATTAAAATGATCGTTTTTTTTGTAAGTATAGAGACCATAATGAATCTTTCGAAAATATATGACCGTATAGGAAAAAAGTGAACAAATGTTGTACAAAGACTCAAATGAGTATTATAAAATTACAAGAATCATCTCATCGAGACATCTAGAACATCTATCCATCAAGGATCACTCAAACATCGTACTCTTCCATATCCATACTTCAATTTTATATGAAAAGTGTTTGTACTTGTTTAAAAAATACCCTTTAAAATTTTAAAATGGAACAGGTATCACTTGAAATAATTATACGTTGGATGATCTCTTAGAAATTTTTTAAAAAACATGTGAGCGAAAATAAGACATGTTGAAATAACTCATGTTAGTCAGTTAAGATAACTTTCTCTCTTAGAAATAGTTTAACAGATAACACAGTCAATAAAAATAAAATCAAAGCGAGTAAGATAGCGAATACAGAACGGTTACGATAATATTAAATCCTCCTTTTAGGAAGAAGCTTAAGAGGTTCTTCCTTTTGTAATGTTACACCAAGCCTTCCTTTCAAATCCAGCGTTGACGCATCCTCATCATTAGGAAGGCACCATTCAAAGTTGTGAATTAAGGTGGCTAAGATTAGTGGCACTTGCACCGCCGCCATGGGAAGCCCAGGGCAAAGCCTTCTGCCTCCTCCAAATGGCAGGAATCGATAATCATGACCCTTCAAATCTGCATCACAGACATCAAATCTTTCTGGTTTGAACGATTGAGGATCTTCCCAGATTGAAGGGTCTCGCCCAATCCCCCAAACATTCACGACAATCATGGTGTGTTTAGGAACAGAGTACCCCATAAGCTCACAAGCTTCTGGAGCATACCGTGGAAGAAGAAATGGCGCAGGCGGATGCAGCCGTAGAGTTTCTTTCACGCATTTCCATAGATAATGAAGCTCAGAGAGTTTGGATTCGTCAATGGCGTCTCCGTTGATTGCCTTCTTTGTTTCCTCTCGAACTCTGTTCATAATGTCTCTGTTCTTCAACAGCTCCGCCATCGCCCACTCCACCGTCGTGGTCGTTGTATCCGTGCCGGCGGACAACACTTCCTGCAATAACCCATCAAAACTTTGATTAGAAAACTATCCATCTAAAAAAAAATTTAGTTTTTTTTTTTTTTTTTTTGTTCGTTCCTTCGTTAGTAATCACAACTCTGGCTCGATAGTATGATATTATCCACCTTGAACATAAGCTCTAGTGACTTTCTTTTGGGCTTTCCCAAAAAAGACTCACACAAGTGGAGATACATTCCTTACTTATATTGAAGTCCCCCTTAATCCGAGCTCATCAAACAAAGTATACCCCTAAATTAGTCAATATGGGACTCCCTCCCAACAATTCTCCTCTCGAACAAAGTACACTGTAGAGTATCTCGTGAGCATTATGAAGTTTTCGAACAACCTCTCCTTAATCGAGGCACGACTCCTTTTCTAGAGTCATCGAACAAATTATACCCTTTGTTCGACACTTAAGTCACTTTTGACTATACTTTCAAGCCTCACAACTTTTTTGTTTGACATTTGAGAATTCTATTGACATGACTAAGTTAAGGGCATGATTCTGATACCATATTAGGAATCACGACTCTCTACAATGATATGATATATTGTTCACTTTGAGCATAGACTCGGTGACTTTTCTTTGAGCTTCCCGAAATACCTCCTACCACTAGACATGCATAGTACCCATTAGTGTGAGACTCCCTCGATGATTTTTTTCACTTACAACAATCAAGTAGTTAATTTGTTCATCGGTGAATCCACTTTGGATCAAAACATCCAAGAAATCGCTCGTAACTAAAACGCCTCGACTATGAATTGTTCTTCGTTCTTTAATAAGAATTTCCCACGAAGAATCGATTTGGTTCTTATAGATAGCAGCTTTCTTTCGGAGTCCTTGAAGATCGAAGCATCTGAGCAAAGGGTAAAAGTCAGCCAAATTTGGGATCAAAGCCCAATCGATCACGTTCTTGAAATGCCCTTCAATCCCATTGAACCCATCACCCACAAAACCAACCAAATCCCTAGAGAAGATGAAGTTAGAAAGAGTGTTGAAAACAGTAATAAACACAAATTCTTTAATCTCCACCACAGATCCCTGTTTTGACTGCAAGAACTCCACCATTTCATTCATCTTCTTCCTTCTCAAACTGGCTTGGGATTCGATCGCTCTCGCTGTAAACAATTTGGCTCTGCAAATGGATCTCAGATTCTTCCAACGATCGCCGCATTCCGGTGAGAAAACAAGCGAGCAGTTATCGTGCAGAGCTCGATCAGGTATCATTTGGAAAATGTATCGAGCAGATAGAAGGCGATCTTGAGTCTTGAGAATGGCGGCGGCGGCGGCCGGTGAAGAAGCGACCACCAAGCGCTGAGCTCCGAGCTTGAGGGAGATTAAAGGGCCGTAGATATGAGAGAATTGGGTCATTGAAATGTGGGCGTTTTGACCGATCTGAAGGAGATTTCCAAGCATCGGCCATGGCTTTGGACCCGGAGGAAATGGCGGCTGTTTTGAAGATGAACTGATGTGCTTAAGAATGGCGAAGATTAGAGGTAGAAGAAGAAGAAAGGAAAATGAAGCAATCTCCATCTTCACTTCATTTTTGTTCTACGTCTCTACTACTCTCACCTTTATTTATCTCGAGAAAATGCAATCCAAAATTGGATGATTCGTACACTATTAAATTGTGATATTAAGTCGGTGATTCGTATACTATTAAATTGTGATATTAATTCGGTGATTCGTACACTATTAAATTGTGATATTAATTCGGTGATTCGTACACTATTAAATTGTGATATTAATTCGGTGATTCGTACGCTATTAAATTGTGATATTAATTCGTCAACTCTCAATTTTGGCCAAATATCAAATAAATCATAGTCGTTCAAATGAGTCGGGTATATGGTAAAATAGGTTAATGTCAACTTTAATAATTGACAATAAATTTAAATAAATAAATTATAGACAATGTGATTCACAAACTTTCCTCCTTCAGTCAACCATATAATTACTTACCCTTATTTAATTAATAACAATAATAGTAATAAATTGTGTTAAGTCTTTTTAGAATTAATTCTTTTCTTAATTTTATTATTATTATGAGGCGAGAAATTTAATAATATTTAAAATTTGAGTATATATATTTTAGACCGTTCAGTTAGTAGAAAATATATTAAATTGTATATTAAAAGATAAGGTCGGGTTATTACTTTTTTCGTTATGATTTAAGGGATAATCTGGAACTCGAGAGTAATTTATTCTCTAGCTATTTCAAAAGAGTGAGTTTAACGTTAATTTTTAGAATAATTATTATCTTTTTTAAAAAATATATTATTTATTAAAAAATGATTATAACCTCGTATTATTTATGGGGTCAATTTTTATTTTATTTTAATTGAAAAAAACTATTAATGGTAGAAGAAAAAAAAAACAAATTCAAAATTGAAGAAAAAAAATAAGAATAAAAAAACCCTTGTTTCAGTGGCGACCTAACGCTGTTTCTGCGGATCATCATCCCCTGCGCATCAAAAACCCTAAACCCTAATCGCAGTGAAGTCAATTGGGAAATATGATGATCTTTTATGGTTATTGTTCTAAATTTCGCAGCACCAAATTTACAGCATTCAAAACTACGGCATATGTTCTCTGCAATTTCAGTCGCTCAAGATCGATGTCTCAATCCACCTCCATTCCCAGAAAGCTCGAAAGGGTTCGTGACCATGGCTACGATAATTACATGGATGTGGAGAAGAAAACCCGAAAAGTGCTCAAGTTTCAGGACCTTATTCTCACCCAAATTAACCAAACCATCCCAGTTTCTCGCCTTGATGTCTCAGCTCGTCGCCTTGGCTTCAAACAGCACGAAGCTGGGGCGTTTGTCCTCAAATTCCCTCATGTGTTTGAAATCTACGAGCACCCTGTTCAACGAATCCTCTATTGCAGGTTAACTCGAAAAGCCCATCTCCAAATCGAGCAGGAAAAGCAGGCTGTCATTGCGCAGATTCCGGATGCTGTGACTCGGCTGAGGAAGCTTTTGATGATGTCCAACAATGGCCGTCTTCGCCTCGAGCACATCCGAATCGCCCGGTCTGAGTTCGGGTTGCCGGATGATTTCGAGTATTCGGTAGTTCTCAAATACCCTCAATTCTTTAGACTGTTTGATGCAAAAGAAACCAGGAATAAGTACATTGAAATTGTAGAAAGAGATCCAAATCTTACTGTTTGTGCAATAGAGAAAGCTAGGGAGAGAGTTTATAGAGAAAAAGGGAGTGATGCTGAGGATATTAGATTCTCGTTCATTGTGAATTTTCCTCCTGGATTCAAGATAGGGAAGTATTATAGAATTGCAGTGTGGAAATGGCAGCGGCTACCTTATTGGTCGCCGTACGAGGACGTTTCTGAGTACGATATGAGGTCCATTGAAGCACAGAAGAGGATGGAGAAGAGGGCAGTGGCAACAATTCATGAGATGTTGTGTTTGACTGTAGAGAAGAAGATCAGTTTGGAACGGATTGCACATTTTCGATTGGCGATGGACCTGCCGAAGAAGTTGAAGGATTTCCTTCTTCAGCATCAGGGGATTTTCTACATTTCAACCAGAGGTAACCATGGGAAGCTTCACACTATTTTCCTCAGGGAGGCTTACAGGAGAGGTGAGTTAATAGAGCCAAATGATGTGTATTTGGCTAGAAGAACACTGGCTGAGTTGGTTTTACTCAGTCCAAGGAAGGCAAAACTTAACAGAGAACTAGTTGGGTACAGGAGAGAAAGAGTGGGCTATGATATGGAAAGCTTTAGGCCAGATAAATTAGATGATTATGGTGCTGGGGACAGAGGCAATGTGAGAGACGTTTTGGACTCGGACGTGGGTTCTGATTCAGAGTCCGATTTCTCCGATGATAGTAATCGTAGTGTTGATGAAACGTTCGAGGAAGAGGATGTGAACATAACCAAATAACGGAAACTCGATTGTTCTCGATCATCTCCTTCGAGCTGCTAGATTATCTCTGATTAAATGAGACTGTGTTGAAGCCTCAAAACTCATTTGGTAGCTCCTGGTTGTAAACTAAAACACAAGTGCTCTTCGAACGTAAATTTTGTTCATCAGGAGCGTAGCGGCCTTGATCTTCACTTCGATATTCATTGTTCGATTGGGGCGGTAGATCTTCATGGTTCTGTTTTGGATATGTGGTTTGGCAATGTGAGATGCCATGGCTTAAAGAGGAGTGTCATGATGATGCCACAGGCATGGAATCCAAATTTTGAAGGCGAAGAAGAATTAGGTAAAATGCAAATGAATTCAAGTTTGATGGGCAGAATCTGCAGGAAAACTACATAGGAAGGGAAGTCCTATGTAGTTCATGCTTGCTTAGCTTCAAGCTGCAAAGAATGTGGCATGGAAAAAAGATGGCTTCTGGAAGATTTTTTTTTTTTTTTTTTTTTTTTTTTTTTTTTTTTTTTTTTTTTTTTTTTTTTTTTTTTTTTTTTTT